GGGGGGGGTGCCCCCCCCCCCCCCCTCTCCCCTGTAGCAGCGGCAGCAGGAGCTGTTGCAGCTGTTGCTTCTGTTGCTGCTGTTGCTGCTGCTGCTGCTGCTGCTGGTGCTGCTGTTGCTGCGGCTGCTGCTGGCAGCTCGAAGCAAAGCAAAGAAAAAGGAGAAGTCCCCTCTGTGCAGCAGCAACTGCCACTGTCTAATACAGAGCAGCAACAAGAGCTGCTGTGTTTCTGTAGTTCTTGTTGCTGCTGCTGTTGCTGTTGCTGCTGCTGCTGCTGCTGCTGTTGCTGCTGCTGCTGCTGCTGCTGCTGCTGCTGCATAGTGCATGCATACATGAATGCATGCGTTTATATATCGTTAATACGGTTCAACGAAACCTTTTGGAATTTAATTTGTGTTCTTTTGCTTTCTGTTTCTTCTCGTGGTGGTGCTGCAGTGTATAGATACAGAGCAGCACAGGGGGTGTTTGGGGTGTCTGTGCATACAGCTGGCGCAGTAAAAATTTGTAGGTTTTGGGGGTCATGGAGCGAGCACTCTTCAGGTATATGCACTTCAATAACATCTTCTTTTTCTCCTTCTTCTGCTGCATATACACCTAATACACTAAGCCGAGAAGGAGACGCAGATACAGCTGTAAATGAATACCCTATCACACGAAACAAACAGGGGCCCGCGGTGTATGTACTGCTGCTGGGGCCCCCCACCATACCCAGCTCCTCTAGGGGTGAAGGTAGGGGGCAATACATACCAGGATAGAAGTGTTCATCGTCGTGCTGCTGCTGCTGCTGCTGCTGCATCATGAGTTGCTGCTGATCTTGCTTGATATCCTCTTCCTGCTGCTGCTGCTGCTGCTGCTGCTGCTGCTGCTGCTGCTGCTGCTGGCGCAGCAGGTACTGTCTCTCCTGCGGTTCGTTGCAGCGAATAAGAACAGCATCTATGTTGCCGTTTGCTTTCTCCCTAACAGCAAAGACAGGGTGAGCTTCATCGACAGCCCTAGAGTAGCAGTTGC